AAACAAATTAGGTTTCAAAAAGTTAGTTTTCTTCTTAGGTTAGTCTTACCTAGATGTTTATATTGGTTTAGAACAGGAAGAAAACATATTAAACTACCCCAGAAATATGCATGAATGTATTATATATGATCTCAATTGATAAGACTTAAAGTTTTCGTAACTCTTATTTTTTGTTTGTTTTGTTTGAGATGGAGTCCAGCTCTGTCATCCAGGCTGGAATGCAACCTCAGTTCACTACAACCTCCACCTCCCAGGTTCAAGTGATTCTCCTGCTTTAGCCTCCCAAGTAGCTGGGATTACAGGCGCCTGCTACCACGCCCAACTACTTTTTTTTTTAGTAGAGATGGGGTTTCACCATGTTGGTCAGGCTGGTCTCAAACTCCTGACCTCAGATGATCTGCCCGCCTCGGCCTCCCAAGGTGTTGGGATGACAGGCAGGAGCCATCTGGCCTGGACAACTCTTATGTTTTATGTTAAACAGATACTAATAGTTACTAATTTGTTAGATATGTACCAAATACTTTCCTTCCCATTGATTCAGCCCTTTATTTATTTATTTATTTATTTATTTTGAGATGGAGTCTCCCTTTGCTGTCCAGGCTGGAGTGCAGTGGCACGATCTCAGCTCACTGCAATCTCCACCTCCCAGGTTCAAGTGATTCCCGTGCCTCAGCCTCCCACATAGCTGGGACTACAGGCACGCACCACTACACCTGGCTAATTTGTTTTGTATTTTTAGTAGAGATGGGGTTTCACCATGTTGGCCAGGATGATCTTGATCTCCTGACCTCATGATCCACCCGCCTCGGCCTCCCAAAGACCTGGGATTATAGGCATGAGCCACCACACGTGGCCAATTTTTTTTTTTTTAAGACAGGGTCTTGCTCTGTCGCCCAGGCTGGAGTGCAGCCGTGCCATCTCAGCTCACTGCAGCCTTCGCCTCCTGGGTTCAAGCAATTGTCCTGCCTCAACCTCCTAAGTAGCTGAGATTGCAGGCATGCACCAGCACACTCGGTTAATTTTTTGTATTTTTAGTAGAGACAGGGTTTCACCACATTGGGCAGGCTGGTTTCAAATTCCTGACCTCAAGTGATCCACCCGCCTCAGCCTCCCAATGTGCTGGGATTACAGGTGTGAGCCACTGTCCCTGGCCTCAGCATTCCTTTGATGCCAGGCACTGTGGTAGGTGCTGGGGATGTAAAAATGAATAAGAAAACATTGTTCCCATTACAACATTTTGAAATAGGTATTATTTATCCCCACTTTACATCTGAAGAACCTGAAGCTCCTTAGGTTCGGCATCTCTGCTAACATCACATCATTAGAGCTTGGGGAAGATGGGATTCAAATTCAGGTCTTACTTCAAAGCTCAACCTTTTTACTGCCCCACAGACTACACTCTACACTATCAATAGTTACTATCAGACCCGGCACAGTGGCTCATGCCTGTAATCCCAGCACTTTGGGAGGCTGAGGCAGGCAGATCTTGAGCTCAAGAGTTTGAGACCAGCCTAGCCAACACTGTGAAACCCTATCTCTACAAATAAAAAAAAAATTAGTTGGGCATAGTGGCTTGTGTCTGTAACCCCAGCTACTTGGGAAGCTTAGGAGGGAGGGGATTGCGTGAGTCTAGGAGGTCGAGGTTGCAGTGAACCATGATTTCACCACTACATTCCATCCTGGGCAACACAGCAAGACGCTGTCTAAAAAAAAAAAAATTATTTAAGAGAACCTTTTTTATAAAGTAATATGCACCTGTAATTTGTTTTTTACTTTATATTTCCAAATGTTGGGTTTTCAAAAGAGTGGCACAATGAAGGAAATCAAAAACAAAACCACAAACCTTGCGAAACCTCTATCTAGGAGGAATTAGAGGCACTTTGTCAAGCAATGTTATCAAAGCATGCAAAGTAACAAAGAATATTTCAATACAAACAAAAATAGTAAATCCTAGAGTGAGCTTTTAATATCTACAGCTTACTGAAAAGTTAACATAGTTTGCAAAGCTCACTGGCTGCCGAAAGTAAGAATTTGATACCTAAGCAGTTTGCTTCCTAGACGTGAATCTAATTACAAACAGATCCTTGCAGGCCTATATAAAATTATCTAAGAGACAGAAACAATAAGATTTAAAGAGCCAAAGAATCAACAATTGCATTGATTCTCCATTTAAACTGACAAAACAGAAGGAAAAGAAAGAACAAAACAAAAAATGTTCTGGCTGAGGAAACTGTGGAGAAGTAATAAAACTTCAAAAATAATTTTTCTTATCCCATTTCAAACATTCTTCTTTCAGTTAAAAAGGTGATTTTAGGCTGGGCACAGTGAATCATGCCTGTTATCCCAGAACTTTGGTTAAAACATAAGCTGTCTTTGATTAATTCAAATGTTCTGAATTCAACAAATATTTATTGATTACCTACCATGTGCCAAGTACTCTGAACAATACTCAGTATTAACAGATCAGAAATGCTCCCTGGCCTTTTGGAACTTACAGGGTAATGAACATATCCTTCAAAATTATCCTTTCTTTTGTGTGATTCCATCATCAAATGGCTTCTGAAATATAAATTCACACTACCCAAAGCTTAGTACCCATAAAACAGTACATTACATTACCAAAATCAGCCTTCAGGCCAATGTATATACCACTATTTAAACTAATAAGTCATTCAGGTTTGCACATCAGTCTCTTATGAGTTTAGCTGAGTGAATCCTCAAAACTTAATTCAGATTAATTGGTTAGATGTAATTTATGAAAATTCAAAATATAGTAGCTGAAAATCAAATACAGTAATGGACTATTTCCATAAAAACTCTTATCACCAAAGTGAGTCTCTACTTATTTTATCCTCTGACAAAATGCCTTTATTTCATCATACCCTTCAAACTGCAATTAGTTAATTCATAAAACTGTTAACCATAAATGAGATATGCCATATGAGTGCTTCCCGAACTTTAATGTACATACAAATCACCTACAGATACATTAAAATGAAGACTCTGATTCACTAGGTCGGGGGCAGCCAGCGATGTCCAGTCTGCTGTCCACAGACTACAAAGATACACACCTAACACAGTGGTTGGCACGGATTCTACGCAGCCCAGTTAACTATTCGCTCCCATTTGGATATATCTCATCTCCCTTACTGAGCTCACCTTTCTCGGGAGCAAAGACAATGTCTTTTTCATTTTTGTATCTCTCAAAGTTCTAAGTAGACTGCCTTATCTACACGATGGCATTAAATATATGGATTCTGAATGAATGGCACACGGCTTTTAACAGTTATTACTTCTTCTATGATTATCGACAGAATTGTTTCTCTGAATTTTTCTTAAATAGAAAAATGTTGTTCAAAAGTTGAAAAATCAGGAAAGCTCTCAATCTGTTTTTTAAAAACAATAAATATGGTATTAGTATCATTTCGTGTTTTTGTCTCATGCTGACCTAACCAAGTCTTTTTTAAGAAAACAAGTATCTGGCTACTTGGCCACAAAAGACAAAAAGAAAAAGAAAAGAAAAAAGAAAACAAATATCCATAATTACCTTTCCAGTTTCTCTCTTAATGGTTTTCCTTTTTTTTTTTTTTTTTTAATAAAGAACAAAAATAATTTATTCATTTTTCTGAGGAAGTCTTAAAAGTAATCATTTCTTTGTATGTAAGGGCATCCTCATAAAGGTAGTATCTATAAAATAATCCTTGCTCTCAGATTAATATCATATAAAATCACAGGATTCCTGTTATCTACAGGTAGACGTTGGCAGTTTCATGTTTCGCCGCCTGTTTTCTGTGATCACCGTAACAACTGACTAAATATCTCAGAGTTCGTTTATTAGCTGTTAACCTGACCACAGTAGGTTCCATGGTGAGAAAAATGGTATGAGAGGGTGTTTTGAGCACTCGAGAAGGAAAACAAAGGAGGAATATATTTTCACTTCATCGTTGTTGACTGTCTCACGGGTTTTTGGATATTTTGTCTTGGTGACTTTGCCAACTACCAAACGCAATTATTTTTGAGTACGTAAGGTCATGGTAACCAAGGATCGGGTCTTGATCATAAATTATGCCACGAATTGAAAACAACATGAACGGTCTGGCCAATAAACGTCAGCCCTTTTTGGGGTCTCGGCGCAGGCACCACACTGACGCCTCGATCTGGCGACCTCAGGCCTCGAAGCGCACAGCGCCTCTGCAGGCGGCCAGCGCGCGGGGCCGGGTGGTCCCCGGGGACAGCGGGTCCACGGTCTCCGCCGGGTTTTGCTTTTCCGTCTTTACTGACACTGCCGTTTGGGTGTGGGTCTTTGTTTTCTAAGACTCCAGGCCGGTTGCTCGGCGCCGGCCGGCCGCAGGGCAGGCACTTCGGAGGCAGGAGAAGCTCGGGGGCAGCGGCTGTGACCTCCAGACCGTCCTCCCGCGTCCTCATTGAGAAGGCAAAATGGTGGCGGCGGACGCCATCGGGCTGCGCCAGGGCGGGGTTTCGGCGCCAACAGGATCCCGCCAGATTCCGGCGGCCAGAGCGCGTCCTCGCCCGGCCGCCCCGGGGCCCACGGCCTGGACAGCCACGGGCGTGGCGCCTGCGGCACCGAGAGCCCCGCAGGGCGCGGCGGCGGCGGCTTCCCCGCGGCACTGAACAACGACGCCATTATCAGCAGCCCCTGGCGGCGCCTCCGCCGGAGCCCGCGCGGCAGCCCAGGCCCGGCCTCCGAGGGAGGAGGAGGAAGACGCGGCGGGAGGAGGGAGGAGGAGGGAGGAGGAGGGAGGTCGGAGGAGGGAGGAGGAGGGAGGTCGGAGGAGGGAGGAGGGGAGAGAGGCGGGGCGGAGCGGCGGAGACGGGCCAGCGCGGCTGCCCCTGCTGGGCGGGCCCCTCCTCAGGCCACCCGGTCCCTGCGGGTGGGGACTCCAGATGGACGAGGGCCCACCCCCACCCGGCGCTTCGCCCAGCAGCCCAGGGTCGCGGCTGGCGGCGAGGGCAGCGGCTCCCCGGCGCCCCTGCCTTACCTTCCCTGTCCTTCTCGTCCGCCATCTTGCTGCGGAGCGGGTCGCCGGGGCGATGCCTAACGACAGCCTCGGCCGCAGAGTCCCGGCCCGCTCAGCGCCCCGCGGCCAGCCTGGCCGGGAGGAGGGGCCGCCCCGAACCCCGGGGGAGGAAGACCCTGGGGCGGGGCGGACCGGGGCGGGGAGGAGGCTCCGAGCGCGCGCCCGGTCCCGGCTTCCCGCCTCGACCCTCGCGCGGCGGGAAGACCAGAAGCCCCGTCTGCCGCCGGGAGCCGCGCGCCGCGCCGCCGGGCCCCCGCCTTGTCCCTGCGGACCCGAGGCCTAGCAGTGTTCCCGAGTCACACGGCCCCCCGCCCCTCCTTTCCCTCTCGCCCCCTCCCGTCCTGTTTGTGCGACGTGGCGTGGCTCGGTTTTTGTTGTTAACTGCGGAGTTTGAAAAGCAGCCAGAGAGCTCGGCGGAGAGCTGGGCTCCCACGGGGCCGGAACCAGCCCGCGCCTGCCTCCCGGTGTCCCCCGGTGTCCCCCGGCCCGTCCGCACCGCCCTGGCCCGGGGAGAGCCACAGCTGCCCAGGACGGCTGATGCTCAAACGGAAAAGCTGGGCCGGGCAAGAGGAAACCGGAGCCATTCGACTTATGCTAGAGGAGAGAAATAGCTGTAGAAAAATAGGCGCAAACATTGCGTCGTCAGGGCTGCGATTTCTGATCCAAAATAGAAGGTTCTCATAGCAACAAAAACGTGCCCATGTTATGCTCAGCATTACATGCGGTAAAATGGTCTTAGTTGAAATTGGACAGGACCGCTTGTTAAACTTACAATGGAAGTTTTAAATCCTGCTTTCCGGAAACTTTGCAGCTATAGCATGAGGTTAAATTTTTGTCCTATTCTCAGGATGTTTACTATACTGGAATGTTTTCCTTTTATAAAGAGCTTTGAATAAAATACCGAATGATGTGGTTCAAATGAATACCTGTTTTCAAAACTAATCTTAAATGGTATTTCAGTGCATATGTTACGTAAAAGCATTTATAAACTATTAACTGGACATTTAAAGAGGCCTTCAAAATACAAGGTACTCGTATTTAATGACTTAACAGTTTGAATGCTTTTATTCCGGTTCTATAATCTCTCAAGAAATCCTAAAACTGACTATATTTTTCTTTATTGAAATCACATACTGTATTTTTTCTGTAGAAGATACCCATTTGATGCTGTGATCAGCATCAAATTAAAATTGAATTGAATAACGGAATATGAATTCAATATTGAATTAAGTTGAAACTGAATATAAACAACTGAATTATTACAAAATGGCTCATGTTAGAAATTGAATATAAAGAACTGAATCATTACAAAATGGCTCACGTTAGAAGATACTTAAAACGAATACAATCTTGTACAATAAATTTTTAACACACCAAAAATAATGAAAAATAATTATTAGCATTCATTTATCTAAATCTCATCGTCGCTATGATCTAAATATTTGTGTTTAAAGACTCCCTCTCTCCATATGGATAATGAAGGGCTTTGAAATACGTGTAGGAAACCCTGAAACTGGTCTCAGGCTTACTATTCACTATGCTTTTTCCTGTGCTGTTCAGTGTTTCCTTTTTCTGGAAAGCCTTTCCCTGCTCTTTCTCCTGCCAACATTCACCCTCCCACAGACACACATTGTCCCCTCCTGGTTGTCCTGCAGGATGACCTTTTGTTTTTGTTTGTCTTTTGTTTTTCGAGACAGGGTCTCCCTCTGTCACCCAGAATGGAGTGCAGTGGTACGATCTCTGCTCACTGCAATTTCTGCCTCTTGGTCTCAAGTGACCCTCCCAGCTCAGCCTCCCAAGTAGCTGGGAGGAGAGGTGCTCACCACCATGCCTGGCTAGTTTTTGGTTTGGTTTGGTTTGGTTTGAGACAGGGTTTCACCACGTTGGTCAGGCTGGTCTCGAACTCCCGACCTCAGGTGATCTGCACGCCTTGGCCTCCCAAAGTGCTGGGGTTACAGGCGTGAGCCACCACACCCAGCCTAGTTTTTGTATTTTTTTGTAGATAGGATTTCTCCCTGTTGCCCAAGCTGGTCTCAAAACTCCTAAGCTCAAGCGATCTGCTGCCTGCCTGTGCCTCCCAAAGTTCTAGGATTAGGTGTGAGCCACCGTGCCTGGCCAGGATGACCTTCTTGAAGTCACCTACTCCTTGAAGCTTTCTTTCCCTCTCAACCTCTTCCTCTGTGGCCTCACTCATAGAGCCTCCCACATTTATTTGCAATGACTTTGTTCGTTCACTTGTTTCCACCTACCAAATGGTAACCTCTTGAGGACAGAAACAGCTTCACTCATTCATGTGTCCCCAGTGTCTAGTACAGTTTTTCTGCTTGCAATAATACATGTCTTAAAAATTAAGATAGGAGTTAGGCTTCTCAGTGACTTTTTTTTTAAAGACCTAGATTTAGCACTTACTGTGTGTAAGACAGATTTTCCTTCTACGTTATATTTTTGCATCAGTAAAAGTACTGGGCCAGGCGAGGTGGCTCACGCATAATCTCAGCACTTTGAGAGGCTGAAGCGGGTGGATGATCTGAGGTCAGGAATTCAGGACCAGCTTGGCCAACATGGTAAAACCCCATCTCAACTAAAAATACAAAAAGTAGCCAAGTGTGGTGTCTCACACCCGTAATCCCAGCTACTCAGAAGGCTGAGGCAGAGGAATTGCTTGAACCCAGGAGGCAGAGGTTGCAGTGAGCCGAGATCCACCACTGCACGCCAGTCCAGACAACAGAGCAAGACTCCATCTCAAAAAAAAAAAAAGTTGGATGTCAAGTGGAGAAAATGAAAAAAAAAAAAAAAAGTACTGGTGCCAGGCGCAGTGGCTCACGCCTGTAATCCCAGCACTTTGGGAGGCCAAGGCGGTGGATTGCCTGAGGTCGGGAGTTCAAGCCCAGCCTGACCAATATGGAGAAACCCTGTCTGTAGTAAAAAAAAAATACAAAATTAGTCAGGCATGGTGGCAGATGCCTATAATCCCAGCTACTCAGGAGGCTGAGACAGGAGAATCGCTTGAACCCAGTAGGCGGAGGTTGCGGAGAGCCGAGACTGCACCATTGCACTCCAGTCTGGGCAACAAGAGGGAAACGCCATCTCAAAAAAAGTACAGGTAGTTCATGTTAATAAAATGGAATCCTTTTTGTTTTTTTCTTCCCAGCAAATATATTTCTATAATAATAAAATGGAATTCTTATATAAACATGTATAAATTAAAAACTATTATTTTAAGAGTTGAACAGATTTCTCTGCAAACCCCCTTATATTTTTATATTTTTTAAACTAACGGTATTCAGCAAAGCTTTTTATTATTTAATTTATTCCAAACCACATTAATCTTTATTTCTCTGAACTCCTACAACACATTTAAAACAATACTGTTTCTCTAGGTGTGAGTGAGTAAAAAACATTTAATGTATGTTAATTAACTCCCCCATCCCTCCACCCCACTAAGGTTTGAAGATAGGAGCTTACACCTTTATAACACCCCCCTTTTTTTTTTTTTTTGAAATGGAGTCTCACTCTGTTGCCCAGACAAGTGCAGTGGCGTGATCTTGGCTCACCACAAACTCTGACTCTGGGTTCAAGTGATTCTCCTGCCTCAGTCTCCCTCGTAGCTGGGACTATAGGCAGGCACCACCATGCCCGGCTAATTTTTGTATTTTTAGTAGAAATGGGGTTTCATTATGTTGGCCAGGCTGGTCTTGAACTCCCGACCTCGTGATCTGCCCACCTCAGCCTCCCAAAGTGCTGGGATTACAGGCCTGAGACACCATACCCGGCCTATAAACCCCTTTTATATACCCACAGTGCCTGGCCTAATCGGGGCACATATTAGGTGCTTTATACATACTTTTCAACTGCCTAATTAGCTGATTAGACATAAAAGCATATAATTCTGGAAAAGTTTACACAAGGTGAAAATGGTTATCCAAATAACAAAATAAAGGCTCACGGCAGGGCCCAGTGGCTCACGCCTGTAATCCTAGCACTTTGGGAGGCCGAGGTGGGTGGATCACCTGAGGTCAGGAGTTCAAGACCAACCTGGCCATCATGGTGAAACCCCATCTTTAAAAAAAAAAAAAAAAAAAAGGCTCACAATGCCAGTGAGTACATCATCTGCGTTATGCTGATATTTGACTCCTTTCAACTGTCTTTCATTGTAGAAACCTGACCGATGATTATATTACACTTTTAGCTCTTGAAATACCATTAGCTTGCTCTGGACTATGGAAAACTAACTACAACCATTTTTATTCCTTAGAATATATTTTGCAGCCAGGCACGGTGACTCATGCCTGTAATCCCAGCACTTTGGGAGGCCAAGGTTGGCAGATCACGAGGTCAGGAGTTCGAGACCAGCCTGGCCAATATGATGAAACCCTGTCTCTACTAAAAATACAAAAATTAGCCGGGCGTAGTGGTGTGTTCCTGTAGTCCCAGCTACTCGGGAGGCTGAGGCAGAAGAATCGCTTGAACCTGGGAGGCAGAGATTGCAGTGAGCCAAGATCGTGCCACTGCACTTCAGACTGGGGAGACTCCGTCGCAAAACAATATATATATGTTTTGCTTCTGAGCTGTAGCTTGAATAACTTGTAATATTGTATGCTGCTGAAGCATGTTTTCACTTACACATCTCATAGTGATTTTCAGAAATTTAGAATTGGAAAATCATTTTGATCCCACCCATGGATATATAAACTTAGGGCTGAATCAGAAAAGCAAGCACATAGTTTGAGGCAATGACACTTATTTGATTAATTACTCTGTGGAGCCAGATGGATATGTACAAGTTATGTCCTTTCGCATGCTTGAATGTATAGTGAGTTAAATCTGTTCAGGCAGCCGTCAATGATGTGCCCGTGAGAGACACACAAAATGTTTCTTTCGAATGCAATTGACTCAGTTCGCTAAGATATGAGTGAAGTGGAAAGGGCAGCTGGTGTGAGTAACGCAAAATGATAGTCTAAAAACCTTCACACCATGCTTACTTTCCTAGTACGGAGATCACTGAAGTCTCCTTGGACTGGGAATAATTTAAGAAAGAAGAAAACTGGATTTTCCTTGGGCATTGCCATTTAGTAATCTCATGATCCTGGTCAAGTCATGCAATCTCTTTAAAACTTAGTAAACGCATAAAAATAGAAATAACAATGTCAAAACTTCCTATTTTAGCATTTTCACAAGATGCAATAGATGTAACTGAAAACTTTGAAAAGTTTAAATAATTTGCAAGGAAATCTCCTGAAA